CATCTGTCCCATTGCTCCCTCTTATAGAACTGCTCATCTCAGCTGGAGTTGGAGAGTCCTAAGGCCAGGTGTAGCATGGATGTCAGGGTTCTGCTCTGGTCTGGTAGTGCAGAGTTACACCTTAGCCCAAAGGCTCTCTCTATGGTAAGCAGTTGATGTGCCTGGTGGGTGGAGAGGCTTTCACAGGTGGTTTTCAGAAGCTCTTTCTACTTAGGGATGCCCGACCTTGCGACATGACGTGGTGGTATAGCCCCTGAACTTTGTATTTCCTCCCACCTACTCCTCAAGGTTTTTAAAGAGACCATCTCAGTTTTCTTCTGGCTTCCAGTTTTAAGTCTCTGGTGACTCTGGTCTCAGTTTTCTTCTGGCTTCCAGTTTTAAGTCTCTGGTCAGTGAGATGGTAAAGCCAGAATATGCATGAGACCTTCCGCAATGTTTTCGGAGAAAACATTCACGATACCTTTCGCTGCTTCAAAACATCAGGGAACCTGATATTTTCTTGGTCCTCCTATGTCCTTTTGTACTGGAGGATGACCATTGTCCATGTACGTGGAGGAAACGGTGCTCTAAAGGCAGCTGCGTTGTGTCTCAAGCAGCAGGGGTTAAACCTTGATGGTGGTGGAGCTGGAGCCCTGCTTTGAAGTCTGGTAGCAGCAGGCTCTTGCTGCTGCAAATGCAGATTCCCACTCGCTCTTTCAGCTGTCGGGAGTCTCTTGACGTGACACAGGGAAGTTTCCGCATGATGAATTTCAGGGAGTGAAGCGAGGGCGGGTGTACATTTTAATTTTAGTTCTGCATGACGGAAGAATGCTTGTGAGCCCATCATATTAATTTCAAAAGCTCTTTGGTATTGTGGTTATTTTGCTGGGATAATGCAGTGGGTTGACTGGGGAATAAGCAAACAAGGCAAGAATTTGGGGAACTGTAAAACCAACCATGCAGACATAAGTTAGCCTGCACAGCCTGTCAGTAACCACCTGCATATCTTCCTTGAACCTGTTCCTACCCCTAGGAAAGAGGTTCCAACCCTGAAGGATCTTTGCATTCTCAGTCTTTTGGACTGTAGTTACTGGATTGGAAAGACTCCAGTTGTCCAGCTCTCTAGCTCAGCCATCTTCCACTGGTCCCATCTGCTAATTCATCCTCTAGGAGAAACAGAGTTGATGTCATGCCAGCAGGAACTGTCGTAAGCTATTTTCATGTCTAGTGCCTAGGCATGGCATAGGGGAAGGCGTGGAGAAATCCCAGAAAGGAGGTTGAGTAATGGAAGGTGATGGGTCCAGATGGAGCAGACCCATCTTCAGAAAAGGGCCGCTCTTCCTCCCCTCCTGTTTCCACGCAACTGAGCTTTGTCAGCATTAAAACTTGAGGTAACCTCCTTGTGAAATCCTTTGCTTGCTCAGAAAGGGGAGATGGTTGCAATCCACTTTACGCCAGTTCAAGCTGGGAGGAATGTGGCATTGGCACAGTTTGTCCCTGCAGTGCGTGTAGGACCATGCAAAGATGCAAGGTGGCCCAGCAGCGAGGATGTGAACGTTGGAGTGAGGAAACCTGGGTTGATCTCTCCGTGTCAAAAGTATTGTTAGTAATAGAGGTGTACAGGGTACTGTCTTTGTTGATTTGTCTTGGTACTGTCCTGGTTTCCACCCTAGAAGTTCTTCAGGTTTTGGGGATATGATGTGCATCGTGGTTGTGTTGCAGCTTGGGGATATTTCTGGATAACTCACCAGGCAAACTCCTCTAGATAACAGCTGTATTGGACATTGTACAAGCAAGATGAAATCTATGCATCTACCTCCTGATTTTTGTTGTGTGTTTTTTTTTTTTTGTTTTTGTTTTTTGTTTTTTGTTTTTTTTTTTTTAAAAAAATAAATATTATGCTTGTGCTCTTGGATGGCATTTTCTATTCAAAAAGGGAGGGAAGGAATGAACATGTCACCCACACCCGAGGTGCTGGGCACATAACTCAGGAGAATTACTCATAAAACTGCAACCTCATTATACAACTATGAAGGATTTCTTCCACCAATTTCCTCAGTCTGGCCACAATCCTGAAATTAATCTCACCTAAACAGTCAGTAGCGTTTCCTCTATCAGTGCAGGCAGAAATCATTTTGTTTTGTGGCTGAATGCTTCAGACAAAGAAGAGAAAAGAAAGGAGAAAAAAAAATCCCAAAGCATAATACTTAAGTGGATGCATTTGCTCTGCATTTTAGAAAAGGATGTCTCCATCCCAGTTCCAAGGAATGCATCCTCTGGAAGCCCTGGATGGATTGCCATGATGCCATTATAGTTTCTATGGGCATATAGGGGTTGAATCTGTTGTGACTTTGTTGGCCTCGTTAGAGCTGCTCTTCCTCCTGCCATCTGAAGCTTCGGTGTGGGGTCCTTCCAGCCTCCCTGTCTTTCTCGTGGAATCTAAACACGTTTCTGTCTGTCATCTCCCACACCCCAGGTTTCCTGCTTCCAGCCCTTGGCCATCACCACGAGCGGCTGACACTGCCCTTGGGCACGCTCGTTCGGGCTGAACAGCGGGATGCTTTTCACAACGTTTGCTTTCCAGATGGATCTCCCCTCTCCGAGTCTGCTGTTTTGCTCTGATGGGGAAAACACAGCTGCCCTGGGGTTTGTTTTCCACTCTCAAGTGTAGGTGGAGCAGATTGGAGAAGACTCAAAGCACCTGGGTGACTGGTGAGCTGGGTGGTTGAGGTGGTTTTCCCCCTGTAAACATCTCAGGAGGTGGGGACAGCTTACCCTTTGGGTAGCAGATGGGATCTGGAGTTACTGTGCCCCTGTGGGCACTGGTAGGATGAGCTGATTTTTGGATCTTGTTGCTTGGGAGAGCCCATGTGAGAGGCTTCAGGCTCTCTGAAACGCATGCTCCTGTATTTCTTTCTCCTGATAGAGAATCACTTGGGTTTTAGCTGCTCTTAGCACTGCCTTGCAGTAAACAGGAATGGTGAACATGGGAGGACTGAAATTCAGATCTAAGTGCATCTCTCGCTGATGTTAAGATCCAGAAATCAGGGGTCTCTTATGTGCTTTTATCATCCTCTTCCTAAATTTCTGTTCCTGGAGCAGAAGAGGCTGGCAGCTGAAGTCACAAATTCCCAGCTCTTAGCTCCTACTGCTCGTTTTCTTTCCTTAAGAAAGGGGGTGAAGTAAAGGTGCTTTGGGATGCCCAGCAGAAAAAGCATCCTTATAACCAGTGCAGTGATGGTATTGCTCAACAAGGAGTTGGACGGAGGATGTCCTAGGTGAAACAAGGCAAACTGGCAGGCTACACATCGCCTTGTCCTTCCCATTAATCTCTAAGAAGCTGATAACATTTCTTCTGTCAGCTGCTAGCTATGGCTGGAGGCTTTTTAAAGTTTGCCCCATGGGCTGGTTTTGCCTTGCCAAAAGGACGTGGGGGTGCTTCTGGGGGATATAGGATGCTGAAGGATGAGGTGAGGTACCACTCATCTGCTAATGCAGAACATGGTAAACAAGAGGGAATGGAGTGGGAGGGTTGAGCTGGGTTGCATGATGGTGTTTTTCATAGCTTAAATGGGCAGGTGGTTGGGAATTACATCCTCTGGCTGTAACAAATCAATAAGATCAATGTTTGCGAAATACGTTGCACAATTTGATGCAAATCGTGATTAAACTTCTAGACTGGTTGTCCCTAGCCCGAAGCGCTCGGTAACACATATATCTGTTGAGATACCTTTTGATGTTTCTCGCAGCCAGCAACAAGAAGGTGCTGATACAGGAGGGGAAAGTCAGCTGTCACAGTGTGTAACTGGCTTAGTATGTTGTACAGAGGTCACTGAAGGCTGGGATTGCTGCTCTGGGCAGATACAAATCATTGCTGCAGTTTTATCTCTGTATTTTCGGGCTGAGGAAATTGCATTTTTTTTTTTTTTTTTTTAAGTGAGCTTTGTATACAGAACATGCATATAGGAAGTACAGAGCATCTATATAGGAAGTGTTAATTAATACCTTAAAAATACTATTATATTCAGCATACGGTGACCAGAGCAGTATAGGAGATAAACACAGTGTGTGAAGAAGGGCTTCCTTGTTAGTGTTAATTAAACAGAGCAAGTCGGTGCATTAATTAAAAGGCCTTTTGTGATAACAGACTGATGAATAGACACTGCGCTTTCTTTGTAATGGAGAAAATTAGGAAATGCTACATACGTAATAGCTGTTGAAAGGTAGATAGATGTGTTAAGGAATCTACAATTTATCTGGCTAATGCTCATCTTGGACCATCTGAGTGTCTGTGTATAAAACCAGAGAGCTTGTGGGTGCGGCTCTGGGTTGCATCTTGAAATCTGCAACCTCTTGGGGTTGCACCAGCACTTCCTCCTTGCAGGAGAATTGGGTGCTTTTATAGCCAAGAGGTGGTGTTTCTAGAAGGAGAGTCCTTAGAATAAAAGCTAAAAATGGGAGTTTTTGCAAGGTAGGGGTGTGCGTACAAGTGTGCAAGCAAGCGTGAGAGAGTAACAACCTGCTGGTGAGAAATGTGAAGATCTTCATTCAACAGGGCTCTCCGTGTTCTCTCAGATTTGACATAAGCTGAAATGCTTAACTGGATGATGGCCAGAGTGTTCCTCCCACAGCAGGTTCGAGATCTTAAAGAGAACAGGATAGTTAAGTGATTCCCCTTTCCCATTGCAGGTTTTAATTTGTTATTTTTTGCAGGTATCTTGAATTCAAATATAACCTTCTACTTTTATACCTCCACTAATCTGGAAATCTTAAAACCCTTTATCAGTTTTAGACGTTTATATCCCCTTTCTCTTAACAAGGAGATGCTGTTCCCATACTCAGCAGTGATGTTTTGAGGAATCAACATTAGCTTTTGTGCCTCTTCATACAGCCCAGCTCCGAGGCTGCAGGTTGTTGCCGGACACCAGAGTTCATGGCACTGATGGTGTCTCTGTCCGTAGCCATGACAGTGAAATAGTTTTCTTCCCAATACTAATCAGTTGTCTTGCTTTTCCTTTCAGATTAGAAGAAAGTCTTTTGTGACGGGGGGAACAGGGCTCGGAAATCAGTTGGTAAGAGCATCTCTGCCAGAGAGTCACCTGCATGTGGAAAGGTGGGGCTCAGGCAGGTGCAAATAAAATTTTGCCCTTGAGAAATGTTGTGTTTGTGTTTTTTTTGTTTTGTTTTGGTTTTTTTTTGTTGTTGTTTGTTTTTTTTTGTTGTTGTTTTTTGTGTTGGTTTTTTTTTTTTTTTTTTTTTCCCTGGCTCTCATTTATAGAAGTTTCACCCTCTTTTGGACTGAGTTGCAAAAAAGGAAAACAGGTTTATGAAAGTTTTGGTGGAAAGGCTGGGAAGGGAGTCCCTGTATGCCATGCCTTAGCTTCACTCATATGGAGAGCAACCATATGCAAGAGCTGTCTCAGAGGTTTGGCTGTGTTTTTGCGTTCTTCCTGTGTTGTCATTGTTCTGGTCTTCTGACGGTTTCATGTCTTTGATCTCTAGAGATAGCTATGTACAGAAAAAAAATGAAATGCAGAGAATGGCAGTGTTTTGAAGCACGGGTGCTTAAACGTGCCATGAAGAATTAGAGTCATAGAATAGTTTGGATTTGAAGGGATCTTTAAAGGTCATCTAGTCTGACCCCCCTGCAATAAGCAGGAACATCTTCAACCAGATCAAGTTGCTCAGAGCCCCATCCAACCTGACCTTGAATGTTTCCAGGGGTGGGGCATCAATCACCATTCTGGGCAACCTGTTCTACTGTTTCACCACACTCAACATAAAAAATTTCTTCCTTTTATCTAGGCTGAATCTACCCCCTTTTAGTTTAAAACCATTACCCCTTGTCCTATGGCTACAGGACCTACTAATAAGTTTGTCCCCAAATCCCCTGAAATCACTGAGAATCATATTTTTCTGTAGGTCTTCAGGTTTAGCTTCATGTTAATTGTCTTGAAAACGCTTTCTAGGGTGAGTGAAGCCTTGTTGGTCTCCTGTGCAGTGTGACAGGCAAGCAGAAGAATGCTGGTCCCATGCCATGCTGGTGGGATGTTCATGCAGCACTTGGACGCTCACCGGTCCACTCCCAGGGGACTTCCCTGCTCCAGCAGCAGTTTCCTAAGCGGCATTCCCGTTCCTTGGCAGGACAGCCAAAGCCAAGCTCCGTTGGCTTTTCTTGGGGGCTATTTTTTTGTTTTCTCCTCCCATCTGGTTTACCTCCGCTGGAGGTGTAGGGAGCTGCTGTGAATTTACATGACTCCTCCATGGTGTCCCTTGAGACAGCAACTCTGATTCATTGCCTGCAAGGCTCGTGTAAGGAAAGAAAGAGCTTTGTGTAATTTTCATGTTACCTGTGGCAGCACCGGTGCTGAATCAGTGCGATGGGTACCCCTTTTGATATGGGTGATGTTTCCCTAAATATCAGTGCTCATTGCCCCAGATGTCCTTGCAGCAGTGCTGAGTAAGGAGCGTTAGTGGTGTTACTGCTGTCCGGGATAGTCCCACAGCACCACGTTTGGCTGGAGAGTGGCAACATAAATTGTCCTCCTACAAGGATCTGGGCTGAAGACTAGAGGATTTGGCTTTCCGTGCAAGCTAGTCGTGCCTTAAAAAAATTTTGCTGAAGGCGTCTTTTCTCAGCTTTGTAACTTTCCCTTTCCATCTCTTGCTTTGACATGAAGTTTCTTCTGTGTGGCAGAGAGGACCAGCTGCGTGGGAATATGGCCTCTGGGAGCTGCCTAGGCTGGTGGGTTAGAAAGCTGTAGTCAACCAGGTTGGGGTGGGGGGGCAGATTGTTTTAGCAGTGAGCGGGGGGAAATAGCAGTTGTGGCATCCTTGTATCTCTGACTCATCTTGCTCATGCTGGACCTGGGGTCACAAGCCTGGTGCAGGGCATTGTTTGGTGGTGTGAATCATGAGGAGTGCCGATGTGATGAATGTGAATTTCCCTTCGAGCGCTGAGAGATGTGTTGATGGTGTCAGCCAAGCCATGGTCAAGATATTTATCTCTCACCAGTTCTTGTGATGGTCCGTGGCTGTGTTGATAACGTGTTGGCCCGCATTTATTTGTTGACCTGTCCAACTTTGTAACTGTTTCTGTAGTGTCTTTATGATCTTGGACTCTTGCTGATGGCCTTTTCCCCACTCTGTGTATACCGTGGTATGTTCTTCTGCCTGTGTACATGCTGTGTGATGCAGATGAGGAAAGAGTGGGAACTGTTTGGGGAGGGTCACCCCAGCTGATGATTTGGTATGGGATGCTCTTGAAAACATCACTGTTTGGTAGCCACATGTTAGAACTTTGGAAGCAAAGCTACAGAAGGACACCTCTTGCAGCAGAGAGCCCATGTCTCTTCCTGTTCAGATTTGCTATTTTTTACCTCCTGATACACTAAAAGTCCAGGCAGCAGAGTTGTTTTTAGCTCCTTGATTCTTCCTGCCTGGGATCTGCACCAAGCAAGCGCTGGTAAAGGCACTTCTGCTGGAAGGGGTGTGCAAGGTTCAAATACAACGTGTTCCTTGGCCCCGTCCCACTTCATCCATGTGGCCAAGTGTTTGCCAGAGGCTACTGAGGTCTGGAGAGGCCACTCCATGCTAAGTACACCAGTGGGTCCTCCCTGGGGATGTTGTTCAACTGGCCTTGACCCGTGCTTCAGCCATTCAGGTGACACAAGAAGGAGGTTGACTGGGGCTAGATTAGTGCCTGGATTTGTGTCTGGGTGGGAGCAGTGAGCGTCAGCTTCAGTACTCAAAGTTCTCTTGTGTGACCAAGTGGTTTTCTTTATTCTTGTCTCTGATGGGTCATTTGTGCTTTCAGGTGGAGTCACAGTGATTGGAAAAATTGTGTTAATATCAGTGCATAAAAATACATATGCATGCATACAACTGTATGTAAAAGATACTTTTATTTGCTAAAGCAAATGGAGATGTAACATCCGTGTGTTGATGCCCTTATTGTGCCCAGGTCCTTGCTAGATCTTGTTTCATTTTCTCCTTATCCCTGTCATTCTGATCTTTGCAAATGTTGCAGCTGAACCTCACAAATGCTGTTTTCCATGTGGATACTGATTTTGTCTTTAGGAGTGCAAAGGAGTGGGGGACACTGTTTGTCCAAGGGCGTATAAAAGGGCTTAAAGCTAGTGATGTGGGCTTGGGTTGCTATTGCTCCTCTCCCAGCATGCTGCTCAGTATCCTCATCCCACATGTAGTTCCTGGCTGTGGCATTGCTCTGCAGGATGCTGTCAAGTATGTATGGAAGGAAAAAGGAGCCATTCTACAACATCCTGGTGTAACTGTCCCAGCTGTCAGCATGTGATGTGAACGGTGTGGTGACCCAAAAAAGCTTCTCCCTGGGTGGTGGGTCAATCTGGTACCTATCCACGTCTGCCTTCGTCTGGATGTCTTGACGTTTAGCATTCAGTACACCACCCACTGTAGAGCAATGGGCAGTGTCACCAAGCTGTTAGCATATTTTGTGTTTTCTCAAACCAGTTTCTTGGCCAACGTTTCAGCACTGAGGTGGTTTCTGGACAGATTTCACCCATGTGGTGGTCTCTGCTCAGTGAGCTGGGCTGGCTTCGCCTCCGCAAAGCCTGTGGCTCCCGTCTTGCTGCTTTTTCCCTGCGTCTCAACGCTTGCATTCCTGCAAGCGAACAAGATAACCGCCACGTCGCTTTTGTAGCAAACCCTCTTCGAAGTGACAACCGTGGGCAAAAGCGTGTTGATGTGGTGCATTGGGATTGCTGATTCGCTGGGCTGTCGTCCTAATCTCTTTAGCGTTGAAAGAGATGGAAGAGCGTGGCCTCTCCGAGCTTCCTCGGTTGTCTTTCTCAAGAAACGCTGCCTCCAAGTAAACTGGGATCTGCACAGATTCCTCGGTCTTCCCCAAAGAAGTAGGAAGGTGTTCTCCCACGTCAGCAACGTCGTTCGGGTTTGGCAGAGCAGAGCGTACAACTAGAGCGAAAGCTATCTGTGCTTGGATGTGAGCGTTGCTGTCTGGCCAGGGGAGGTGTCTGCCGTGTACCGCATAGGAGAAGGTTTCTTGTGTTTTGGGAGTGCTCCTCAGATGGGGAAAACCTGGGTGTTAAGGAAAGATTTATCTTTTTTTTTTGAGATGCGGGGGAATACGGGGAAGTGAAATTGTAGTCACTGCGGTAGCTGTTGCCAAGAACAGCTCCTGGATGTTTGTCAACTTTTAAAAATGAGCTTAATCTCAACCACGTATTAAGGGATTGATGAGAGCTTTCCTGTGCTGTGCAGGTGTTTGGATCAAGCACCAGCACCTGAAAACACACGAACCATGAAAATCTGAGGTTGTTCCCATTTCTCACCCTCCTGTGTCATCAAGAATCTGCTGGTGGTTGCTGTCACCGTTCTCTAGTTTATCTATGTCCTCTTTTGCAGATCAGGTGGGATGGGGGAAGGACGAGACTGTCCTTGCCCTCTCTTCATCAAATGGCTACCACCTTCAGGTTGGGATGCTATGATAGAGTTGATGATTTCGTGCTATTTATTTATTTATTTATTTATTTAATTTTAAAGAAGTGGAGGGATTGATTTTTTTTTTTTTTTTTTTTTTTTTTTTTTTTTTCCTCTTTTGAGCTGGAATTTCCAGAAACTCAGACTCCACAATCAAGAGCGGGTATATCCTTGTCTTAAAACCGAATACATCTATGCAACCACCTTAATTTCTGCAGCCAGCTGCCAATGAATCTGTCCTGTGTTGGGCAAGACTTTTTGGCCGAAGCCTCCATTTTCAGGGCACATCAGCATATTTTGAATTATCTGTATCTCTGGGCCTTACAACTTTTCTCTTCTCTCCCTGTTGCCAGCTTTGGATTTTTTTGTGTGTTTTAAAAACACCTCCTCCACACACGGGCAGGTTTCTGTGCTGGTTTGGGATGGCAGCCAGCGTTTCTACAGCTGGTGCGTTGAGCATCGTGCAAGGTTTCTGCAAAAGAGGCAAATCCAGATGTCCCTTTTTTTCTAAGCAGTGACAAAGAAGCTGATATGAGTTACTTCTGCTCTTAGAGATCCAAAAGGCCGAAAGTATTTATTTTTTAGCTGCATGGGGTGACAGCTTTCCAGCCTGCTTGCTGCAGATTCAGTTATTTT